TACCCACTCCCTCGGCGTATGCCCGTGTGCGGCTCGGTATTCCCTACCCGCGTTCCTGCGTGCGGCCAGCTTTTCCCTAGGTGCGTAGCCTCGTGTGGCCTGCCATTCCCCACGCACGCTCCCCCGCGCGGCTGACTTTTTCCTCTCCCTCGGCCTTCCCACGCACGTTCCCTCGCGCGGCCGACTTTTTCCTCTCCCTCGACCTCTACCCCGCGCCCCCCCGCCTCGGTTGGCCTGCGACCGAGCCTGTCGCGAGACCCTTTGCTTGCTTTAGTATGTATAGAGAAGAGATAGAGAAAAAAAAAAAAAACTCCAGGAAAACCGGCTGTCAGGTCCGTCGGTTTCTACGTTGAGAGATCGCGACCCTCATCATGACTGAATCTGGCCTGCAAGAACCCTACCATACAGACTACAAGAACCCGACCATACACACAAGAGTGTTACGCGGACTACAGGTTTCTAAAAGCTTTCAGGCCAGTGCGCGGCCTCCAAAAAACATTTGGCTGCCCGTTTCTTATTTTACGTGAGCAGGGGGCCGGGTCTACTACCCCCATTTTTGGAGGTGCGCCGCATGCAGTGCGCGCGCGTCGTGCGGGATGCGCGGTGCGGCGCACGTGCGCAGTGCAGCGCATCGCAATGCGCCGCATGTATGGTCTGGACCTGGATGTCCGTACCGACATTCCATACAGCTTAATGCCTAACAAGCGTACTAGCAAGCCGACAGACCGGACGAGCGTCCGGTCCGGTCCGCTTTGGGGCGTGCGGCACCCTCCCCCCGAACCCGACGGACCCGGACCGGACCGGACCTGTCTCTTATACACATCTAGATGTGTATAAGAGACAGGCTTTGGGGCGTGCGGCACCCTCCCCCCGAACCCGACGGACCCGGACCGGACCGGACGGGGGCGGTTTTTTTTTTTTTTTTTGGGGGGGGGCRTAACTGGTCGTCGGGCGCACATTCGTGCGCCGCACGGGTCCGGTCCGGCGGTCTGCCGCACGTGCGGAACCGCCCGGACGGCGTCCGCTTGCAAGTATGCTAACAAGTGCCCCAGACGTCCGGGCTGGCTGCATAGCTCAAATTTCAAACACATGCCACAGCTTTTGTTGTTGATTCCAAATTTCAAAATCTCGCAGTTTCTGGGTTGGTTGCCTGTAGGACTTCGATGTACAGAATTGTCCAGCGAGTTCGGCTGTGTCTCCTGACTCTCGAGATTGTGGTCGACAAAACAGAGTTAGGTTGCCAGACAACATAAGGAACAAAAGAAAAAAGAAAAACAGAAAAAAAAGGCATTACAGTCTGAAGTAGAAAACCTAGCATTGTCCGAGAAATAGACACGGGAAAAAAAAAAAAAAAAAAAGGAACCCAGAAGCAACACTGAATTACAGGGTTTCGAAATCAGATCCTGCAGGACCTGAAGGGCTAGCAATAGGGGAAGCCAAGGATGTAAAATATAGACCCCAGCTAAGATAGATGCAATCAGACTCACTTTCTTCTTCAACTCACAGGCATGCAAGCAGATAACAAACCAAACTGGCGCCAGGCGCCCACACAATGCTCAGAGATATGGAGACCGAGAACACAGTTCAGATGCAAGCTCGCTTCAAACAGGCTATGGTGCCTGAGCACCCAAGTACTCTCTGCCAACACTGCGGCCACCACCACTGTTCGCACACACTCAACTCTGGAACACCCTGAATGTTCCACACGCGTTCACCCTGTATCACACACGCACACACATACTACTGCCTATCACTAGCTATGGCAGCTATGGCCGCCGGCTATCTCTTCTACAAGCAGCAATGGCTGCTCTACCACCTCCACGGCCCATTTTGACTACAGGCATCTGCAGACCACCTTGCACAAGACGCTCGGGCAGCGCTTCGCCGGTTCTGCATGGCGCACAGCAGAATGAATGAATCAGTGGACGCTGCCTCCTGATTTATACTTCTGTCGATCGCCGGTCCCATGGTGCACACAGTCCCTCATGGTACTTGCTGACTAGAGAAAGTGCGACCGGTACTGGGTACCGCTGACTCGACAAAGTTGGACTGGCTACTGCCCACTTGCCTCTGGCCAAACGTGAGAAACTTTAAAGGCCACTTCCGGACCTTCCGGAAGCTTGCGGACTTGGCCTTTCGAAACTGTAGCAGCTATGACCTTGACCTTTCAGGGCTGTAGCAGTTACAACCTTGACCTTTCAGGGCTGTAGCAGTTACGACCTTGACCTTTCAGAATTGCTACAGCTACAACCTCTACACAGCTATGACCCCTACTCGACAGACCTACGGTTCAAGACCCGGCAGCTACATCGACCTACGACAGTCAGCAATTGACTCCTAAGACACAGGTCACGGGTTCAAGCGCACAGGGTACTGTACACGGGTGAGGTGAGGTCTGGGGATCGAGCCCTGGGATCTGCCTCTGCTACTGCAAAGGTGAAAACCGAAAACCGTTTGATAGAATATCCTCCCCCCCCTCTCCCCCCCAAAAAAAAATAGATAGATTACCCCCCTCAGTGAGGGATTGAATATTGAACGGAAACACTGTTTGATTGGATGGATGGAAAATGAGAACTGGGTTATGAATTGACCCAAAAAAGAGAAAGAAGGGTTATGCATTGAGTCATTGGCCCTTTGCGGGTGTCTATACTGCGTGGCAGAAGCCTTCGACTTAGCTCTGAAATTGTTACACGCTGAGCCTGCACACGAGCCCTGTTTCGGGGGCCCGACGGTTGCTGGGGGCCCCCAGGCCGCACCTCCTTCGGACATGCGCCCTGGAGGCCCACGGCCGACCTTAGGACCTTAGGACCGTAGGATTCGATTTAAGGCAGCATTCATTTATTTATTTATGTTGTCCTATGTTTGTCTGTTCAGGCATCGTTGCGGACATGCAGTTCGTCCGAACAGACTTCTGGTCTGTATGGACAAAGGCCGTATTTTGGGCCTTGCACGGTCCCAGGCAGGCCCTTTATTGTCCAGTTACGGGCACTCCCTGCTGCATCAGCAGGGAGGGCCTGGACGTCTGGTAGGGACCCAGGCAGGCCACGTTTTGGCCTAGGACTAGAGGCACACGGAGGCACACCCGTGAGGCCCAGCACTACTTATAGCTGGGCCATGCCTGGGCAGACACAGTTCGAGTAGCTCACTTCTTGGGTGACACGCTGCTGGAGCAGCATGACAGCGCTACACTAGAGGTAGACGTGTAGGCAGGGAAGGAGGTGGAGACCATACCTGTGACGACGGAGCTCCTTCCTGGGTGCCATAGCTGGCCCTCTCGCCAGCGACCTGCACAGAGAGAGAGAGAGAGAGAGAGAGCAATCGACCGCAGTTAGTACAGGGCGGCAGTTACCTGCAGGTGAGACAGCGAGGAGGACAACATCTTCTTCTTCGACTCGCCCTCCATCTCTTCTTTCTCCTTCCTCTTCTTCTTCTTCTTCTTCTTTCAGAGAGAGAGAGAGAGAGAGAGAGAGAGAGAGAGAGAGAGAGAGAGAGAGAGAGAGATTACAGGCAGAGGTTACATCGGGCATGGAGCGCAGGATCTGCTCCGACATTTTGAGGCAGCCATTGATTGGACATTAGGCTGGGAGACTATTTTTGGACTTGGCTATCGGGATCTTGGTCTTCTCCCTCCTCACCATCTTCGTCTCGCCTCTCCCCCATCTTCTCATCCGTGGTATCCTCCATGTGCGTGCAGGGAGGGACCTTTCTTTGATGTATGTGGTCCGTCCTCCCTCTCTCATATGTGTGGTGTACGATGGGGTGTCGCGTCAGTATCTGACAGGTCAGGTCATATCTTTGAGCCTTCCGCTGCGCTACATTGTGCTATTTTCGTATGTATCTGGATGTACCATGCCTGTTGATGCTTTACTGACACTGCATTGTCCATTCAAGTCCTTTTCATCACTTGCGGTTCCTTGGCTCCACATTCATCGCCCAATTGAGGATGTATCAGAAATACAGCAGGATTCGTGCGGCTGAATTGTACGCCCATGAACTGCTGATAAACAGACCTGAATTTGAGTCTTGCCGGGATTAGATGAACAAAATAACGTGGAAATTAGCTGGGGCCTGGGCAGTTGGATGATGACACTGCCCTTATGAATCACGAGTCCCAGACACCGCCCTTATGAATCGCGAGTCCCAAAAAAAACTATCTTTTGTCGAACAGGAAAAACCACCTGCCTGGGCCTGCGCAGCCTGGAAAGTGATGCAAAATGATTCCCTCCCCCCCCAATGATGCTGTTGAACATAATCTACAACTCTTGTTTTTGTCTGATTTTTTTTTTCTCTGTCACCGGAACACAGAACTAGGAGAACAAAATCGCCAAAGCTGGGATTCTTGGAATTTAGCTCTCCCCCCCCGGTGGCACCCCTCTTGGATCCGGCAGGCTGCTGCCAAAAATGATACCTCGAGTGGTGCAAATAAGAATTTGGTAATGACACAACTCCATTCAGCCGCGGGATCTGCATTTTTGTGGGTGGTGCAAATAAGAACTTGGTAATGACACAACTCCATTCAGCCGCGGGATCTGCATTTTTGTGGTTATAAAGGTCCCAGTGGAGAGTAGGCACTTATAATTTGCTCTGATGCCCGGTAAGGAACCTGTGAGCTCTTACGACAACTGAAATGACGGCGTTGTCCGACGGCTGATGTATTGTAACCTTTTTTATTTTATTTTTACGTAGTGTAACTTGTTAGTTGCAACCGGTGGGGTTAAAACACATTCTGGCATCTTACCAATACACAGTACAGGACTAAGTATGAGCATAGTTATAATAATACTTTTACAATGCCCAGGCTCTTTAGGTTTGTTCAATAACTACAATTTAGCACACTTCAACGAACCCGGAACTAGTCGGATTTTACAAATGGTCCATTAAGCGCTCTATGTATATGCCATACTACAGCACAGGTGCTAATTTGTTTACGCAAAAAATCATCGACCATGTTTCTCCAGACTCGGAATTTTAAAGATGCTAATTCTTTCCCGTATGTTCAGGTGCTGCGGGAAAACTGGGGCTTCCTGGACTCTGCAAAAGTCAGCAAGGATGCATTGCCGGCAGTGGTAAAGGACTTGTCATTGGGTCGTCAAAGCTCGATCACCGCAGCATTCGGTAAGTAACCTGTTTCCTATTGTGTGTCGGAGGGGTGTGAGGCAATGACGTGTTTGCACATCTGGGCTGAAGAGTTCATTTGTTGGAGGGGTGTGTGTGTGTGTGTGTGTGTGTGTGTGTGTGTGTTGATATAAACAGAAACCCCGCGAGCGCGGTGAGCAGTGTGACAGGGTATGCATACACGATCACCCAAGAAGGAAAAAATTGCAACATCCTTGCACAAGTTAAACCATGAATGGTGAGAATGAAATGTCAAAAGATGATTCAGAGTACTCGTTTACACCGCGAAGTGATTGCGCATCATAGTAGAGATCAATAGGCCTTGCTTCCTCCAGGATCAATGGTAGTAATCACAAACGAGGACAAGAGGACACGCTTTTATGACCCATTGGCCCCATCAATCACTTAAATCCGATACAGAACGCTATCATCCTACGGTACCAGATCCATATGCCAATTACTCCATTACTTGGTCACCCAATGTCATGAACCATTAATACTGCACACGAAAAGTAATAACAAGAATAGCGAGCCCAATAGCAGATTCTGCAGCAGCTACACCCTCAACCTACTCAACCATCATTCCAGCTATGAAAGAAGCACACGCTACCACAAGCACTACAATTAGTATGGGCAACCATGAGCTCATAAACGCCATCGGCAGTCCGTCATTCCGGTCGAAGGCGGAACAGGAGTCCGTCGATGGAGCATACATCGGTACCGAGAGGGCAGGCCGGAGGAAACCAATCGTGCCGAATAGAAGGCAAATAAGAAACAAGCCAAAGAGGTGCCATCCCTTGACAACAAATCTTATCATGATTGTTTGGCGAATACAAACAGGGCACCACCGATGCACAGTGACCACTCACAGGCTCCCGTACCCAGTGACCTCCTCACGGTTGATTACTCAATAACATCATCCTTCCACTATTCACGCCATCCAGTAATACCGTCAAAACATACCGGACATGGATCCGCCACTTTACAGAATGAATGGACTACCACACCGTATAGCACGTAGAAGACCGTTTGTACGAGCGCACATCCAACTCAATACTCTCCAGCATGACAGTCAGGGACCATATTCACTCAGACATAGTAAGCAGACGCCCTAAGCAATCCTCAAATGAATGAAGGATCGATCATCCCTCATACGGAACAAAGGGGATCACCGGTGGATCCGTCAACTAACTCCTATGGCATCCGATCTATGCTCTGCAGAACCTTGACGCCGGCGCAGCAATTCAGCAACTCCATTCGGCCGGGACACGCAGAATCGGTGCTCCAATAACGCCAGAATCGCCAGAAAAGATAGATAAGCGACGATGGCAAGACCGAGACAAATAGAAATCCACGCAGAATCTATGCTTATTGGCGAGAGAAGACGGCTACTTGTTGTGACTGCATCTCATGAAGATTCTCGTGGAGCAATAAGATCCTACAACTCACCATCACCACAAAAACACACACACACACATTCACGAGGACAAGACACACAATTTCACAAGAACACTACAATAGACAAGGTTGTCAAACCCATACAATAAACATTCGGTAGGTGAAACAATTCCACACAAGGGTTCAGGTTTCTCCATTTCAGCCAAGCGACACTTTTATAGCTGACAATTGGGGGGCCGGTAGTGGATGCTTCCCTAATAAAGTACTTATCACCGGTATCCACAAAACCGGATCATCAGAGGAGAAAATACCCCCACCAATATGCACTGAAAGGGACAATACAACTATAGGGACATGCGACTCGTATACAGAGACCATGGTCCTTGGGCGATTCAGAGAGGAAAAGAGGTGTGGGAGCAAGGGGGGATGGGGGAGGGGGAGGAGAAATGGGCGGAGGAAAGAATCATTACTACATTACCATGCTTGCATCCATGGCACGGGCGAATCCTGGTACAACTGCTCAAAAGACCGTCAAACCCTTCCCCTCTCGAATGAAGTCAAGGCCACCGTCGTATATACAGAAATCAGCATACAGCGGTCAGATGCGGGCTGAAGCGGCAGTTCTTGTCAAGTAACCGTTCATCGCAAATCAGCATAGCAGGAACAAGACGGTCATGTGCACCCTAGTCAAGTAACCGTTCATCGCAAATCAGCATAGCAGGAACAAGACGGTCATGTGCACCCTATTCACAGAATCCTCCGTACTTATCAAGGCACGACACGCCTTCCCATCAGTGCAAACACGCCTCCTACTAGATGCGAAAGACACCACACATCCTTACTCGTCGAGGAGCATTTCCATCCGCAAAAGGCCGGCAACAACGAATCCGCACCCGCGCCATCAGCGCACAACTGCAAGTACTCCCGAAAACAACACACGAGTCACCCAGAAATATTCGCTACGCCAGCTCAGCACACCATTCGTAGCACCGAGACCCGATGACAATCTCATAGGGACATCATCACATTCTTCACCACGACGCCTCACCACACATCACCACGTCGATATAAGGCAGAATCCCATCACCGGTTGTAGCGAAGACCGCATCATGCATAACCCATTCACCACTAGTTACCGCCAGCAGAAAGTGGAGCCTACTCATCGGTAGGATCAGAGACGGTATCACGAACAGGCCGTCCCCTTCTGCGTACGCAAATGCGCGGACTGCCAAAGAGGGTTTTTCTTTCTTTTCACCAGGATCGGTTGATGTATTTAAAGGCCGTTGGACCGACATCCAAGGGATTCATAGCAAAGTAACCAGCGGAAAAAAAAGGGGGGAAAGGGGGAGGGCCATGGACCCAGAGGGGCTTACCAAAACCAGGGACTACCGTTGGCATAGCAGTGTCCACCTGAAAAGACAGTAACACAACCAAAATCCAGGGGTGATCCTACGTCCTATGCAGTGAGCTAATTCACACTGATCCCTGATAGCTCAACAAAAATCATGTGGTCTGGTAATGGGGACCTGACACCCTAGTTTCTTCTTTCTTGAAGGATAATCTCCCTCCCATTATACCATCAGTGATCGTGTGTGTGTGTGCCCCCCCCCTGACCCGCTAGAGGTATGTGCAAGGAAAATGAGAGATAGCAAGATGACAGAATCCAGATAGCACAATCATATTGAAAGCAAGAAAGTCCCACAGTGTTCAGATAAGCAGCATTGCACCAATATTACACCAATGAAGAATCGAAACACTGAAACCGAATGTCAATGAGAGCTTTACTCTCGTCCGCACCAACATACGTATCCAGGCCCTCTCTCCCTACTTGGTGCTCGGCGCCCAGGCTACTCTCTACACAGCTACTTCCTGCCTACGAATTGACAATGCAACTGTTTGACGTCAGCAGCCACCGAAGTACTTGAAGATGTCGACCAATGCAGACCATCGCCAATACCAGGTCTGCGCCCTCACATCATCATCCTCATCTCTTTCACTCTCCCTATCCTTGTCGTCCTTCCCTATGCACGAAGACCACAACCACCTCCACTGGCTGTCCAAGCCAACCCGGGCTATGTAGGGCTGGCTATGGCGCTGCCCTCAGCAGTGCCCTGCCTTCTTCCAGCGCCCGTGCATGCTGCCTGGCAACTAGCGCTAGTGCACAGCGCACAGCCTGCGAGCGCACGCTCAAGCAGTGCTGCCGCATGCACTGCCTAGTGCCCGAATGACCCCACCAGTGGCGAGCTCTTTCCTATATGGAAAGTGATCGCCCAGTTTGCTGGCTGGCTAGGCCTCGTGTGTTTCCAGTAGCTTCTGATCGGGCCAAAGTGTCTGCGCCCAGGCCCATTCAGACAGTGGCCTGGGACGGAATTGGTTAGGCATGCCCAACCACCCAGGAGTAAACGTGAGGTTCTCCCTGCTTCGACTGTGCTGCTGGAAGAGCCCAGAAGGCTCATGAATTGTTTCTGAGTCTCACGAGTATGGAGGATGTAACCAACTGGCGCATGGCAACTGTCTGGCGCCCACCAAACTTTGCCAAAATTGACAAACTCAGGCTATATTGAAATTTAGGTGCCCGCCTTCACTTAGGGCGGGCTCATGCTTGCTGATAGGGCCCTACAAGGGCATGCTGGGGAGCCAACTCGTAATAAGGCCTTGTCGAAGATCCATGCCCACATGGGGGTTACAACAGGCTCTGCTTGGGCCCCTCAGCCTGGTCTCATAGCCCTATAAACAGGCATTGACACATATTTGCAGGCCCGCCTTCACTTAAGGCGGGCATGACACTTCCAGACACCGCCGAGGGACTAAATCCTCGCATACCTTCCCCCTTAGTTTCGAAAGTCCCGTGAGAAAGCGTTTTGTTCACTTCACTCCATCTGTTACTCAGCTCAAAATCGTTAGCTTGTGGAGAATCGCTGATGTAATTGGAAGCCTTCTCTCTGGTTTGAACTTCGGAATATACAGGTTCACAGCTCCAAAGCTTGTCGTCGATGTTTTTGGCTATGGTTGGGGGCAGCATGCACCTTCTTTAGGCGGGTACTCAGACTTGGGGGACGGTTGTAAGACAGAGATGGTAGGATAGACGATTGGGTTGTTAATGATCTGGACATCACGGGAAAGAGTTACAAATCGTTTGCCGACTCCATCTACGCAGGTCATTGTCTTGCCGGTTGCAATCCACCATGTGAAACGACAGCTAGGACACCAAAATAATCTGGATGTAATATTATCATAGATGTTAGTCTTACTTCCAAGTGTAGATTACGGCACTCGGATTCATTCTCCTACATGAAGTGTGAACGGTGGACTGTGATATGATCTCATATGCAAATCAAAAACCTATTGTAGTCGCTTGTCAGCTCCCTCTACACTGACCGGCGCTGCTGTTAATCGATTTTCTATTATAAAAGAGTCTGTCGTTGGTCTACGTTTCAGACTCAACTTTCCACCTGCTTTTCTTCGGGACGATTTCCTGAAGACCATTTGCAGTTGACTATATATCTGTCCGCTGATTCTCTTCCACCTTCGTCAGAGAAAGAATCATCTCTAGTACTATCGATTTTCGGGCAGTCTAGCTATACGTTCCCCTGTGTCCATAG